GGGAGACTCTGTTTTATAGTCTCACTCCAATTACCCACTCCTGTCACCACAGAATCTCTCTCTGCTCTCTTACCCTGTCCCCAGTCTTTCATGCACTACTCTGTATTTGAGATTAAACGTCTAAAGGAAAAATTGATGGAGTATGCAGATTATTCTGCTTTTGGTGTCTTTCTTGATTCTAATCTACCAGGCTGGCCTGCAGTTCCCTACAGGTTTAGTTGGCTTCTCCTTATCTCAGCCACGTTCTCTTTGCTGATGGCATGTTTATCCTTCTTCTCACCATACCTCAGAGATGGAAGCAGAAGTAGGTCTCTTATTACCTTGGAAGGTTCCATCCCTCCCCAGAATATAGTGCATTTAGAATTCTTTGCATTTTTAGCTCTCTAATTGGTATCACATAGGATGATTTTGGAATAAATTGGGTTTTTCTCATATATTGTGAGCAACTATATATATATTGCAACCTTTTAAATCCTAATGAGAAGTAGAAGTCCCACTACTCTCTTTAACCAGTGGAACCTCTCAGCAGTCTCATATGACACCGGTGGTAGCAGAGTTTGGGAGCTAGCGGTTTGGTTTTCAATAGGTTTGGAAAAAAATGTTACAATGTCTCCCCCATGCTCTTGTCACTAACCCTATCTATCTTTTCCAAAGCGCTACTCCCAGAAAAAGATACTTATTTTTCTCTCACAGGCATCCTCACAAATCCAGTGGAATCAGAGGTACCCTAACAGTTGAATAGTTCTATCTTTCTCTCTCATTCAAGGCTGGAATCTGACATCTACTAATACTGAGAAATCATGTAAGTGTTACCTAAGTTCTCCATCTCTCCACCCATGAATAAGACCACAAGTTTAACTGACAAGTCTTGCTTCACAACTTGGACTATGTAACGCTTTCTCTAAGTTAAAAGCTGTTCTGAGTACTTCAGGTATATTGACTCTATATGTGTGAATGCCTTACATATCAGCAACTTTGTAACTCAAGCACAATTATGATTCCTCTTTTATAGTAGGGATATGTTAAGTGGTTTACCTAAGATCACATGCTAGAAACTGAAGCCAGGAAGTGCTGAGCCAAAGACCATGCTATTTTCCTCTAGGCCATATTTCCACACTCTGTAGCAGCCCCTTTAGACATTAGGTAATAATGGCTATGCCTGCAGCAGTCATGACTTATTTAAAATCACGTTGAGGAGTGTATCATGTCAATTGCAGTCACAAAGAGAAGAGATTATCCCTGGTTTCTACTGTGTTTTAGTTCACAAATCTATATTTTCTAACTATAACCATTACTACTACAATCATTATTATTTATTAATATTACTAAGTAAAATATTGCTATTACCTTATCGTATCTACCTAGCGCTGACTACCTTGACACTAGTTCATGGTACGTTAACTTTTTGTGGCAAGTATTTGCTGCCCTTCCCTGTAAAAGGGTTATCTTCTCAGCTCACTGACTTCAGGCTTGGCCATGTGCTTTGACCATTGAAATTTGGGCTTAAGTGACACATGCCTCTTCCAAGTGCAAGTGGTTTCATTTCCTTTTTGCCGTATGCCATGAGGCTGCCAAAATCCCAGAGTGTCTGCTCTATCTACCTGCATTCCAGAGTGAGGATGATGTGGGAGCAACACTGTGGCTGCTGGATATGCAACACAGGAGGAAGTTATACTTTGTTGTATGCCTACAGCACGTGGTGGGGGTATTTGTTACTGCAGCACAACTTAGCCTAAGCTTATAAAGGGTTCCATGATAGGACATGTTATTATAATTTTATTAAATTTATTACATATGTATGTATCTCTAAACTGTATGATGCATTGGTTCTCAAAGTGTGATTGAAGGACCCTCTGGGGGGTTCCATAGATACTTTCAGGAGGGATCATGAGACCAAATCTATTTTTATAATAATACTATGACATTATTTGAATTTTTTCCTCTCATTCTTTCATAAGGGTAGAATGGAATTTTCTAGAGGGTTCATGGTGGGTCATGATGTAGTTGCTCTGATTGCTAATGGAACTAATTCTTGTTAGAAAGTTTTAAAACTTATTCAGCTTTAATTTCTTATATGGTAAATATAAATAGCTGTAACCCAAATGAAATAACTCTTTCCAGATCTTTAATCATTTTAAGAGAGTAAGGAGTTCCTAAGACCAAAAAAATTGAAAGTCATTGACATAATGTATATTAAGTATATTTAAAATTTTTATGTAAGTAGCATTTAGTAGCTTGCTTTGTCAAATCAACATTATCTTTCCAAGGTGTAGACAAATCAATACAGTGAGAACCAGTTCATTCCTTTTAAGTGTTTATACTATTACAAAATAGTTTTAAAAAGAGGAAAATATCTGGTCTTTAAAGTTTTATAAGAATCCACCTGTAAACATATCTGAGCATGTGACTTTATAAAGCACATACATTTAATCATCTTTCCAAAGATCTTTTATTTACCTATGAATAATATATTTGCTTCATGACTGAAGTTATGTACTCTCCACTTCTGCTCAATAGCCCATTGTCAAATTCAGTGACTGAATGGGCATTTTCATATTCTCCTAGCCATGGCCTCTTGATTTTACAGAAAAGCTCGTTCCCTGTCAGTCTCATCTTCTCACTGGGGATTTTCTGTACTCTTGAGAGGCCTCTAGGATGCAAGCAGCTCTGCAAAGACTGCAGACCTGAGACCAGCACAGCATCTGGCCCTGACTTGGATTTTACCCTGCTGCCACTGTGGACATTTTCTCCAAACCCTGGTACCCTGCCTTGATCATCCCCTGAGAGCTGGTTATGGGTCACTGGACTATGTGATAGAAAATTCACATCATCTATATGCAATGCTTTCCTATATTTTTTTACGGAGAAAATATATAAAAGGTAGAGACACTAGTATAACAGACTCCTGTGTACCAATAACCCAGCTTCAGAATTACAAATGCATGCTCCATCTTATTTGAGTCACTTCTCCACCCACGCCGCACTCTCTCCACTGAATTAGTTTTAGTCAAATCCCAGACAGCAAACACAAGTCATATGGTATTTATCTCTACAACATACAGATTCTTTTTTTTAACATAACCATAACATCATTACCACATCTAAAAGTCAACAATAATTCCTTAATATTACCAAATATCTGATCAGTATTCAAAGTACCCCAATTGCATCATAAGTTTTTCCAACTGGTTTTTTTGTAATTAGGATCCAAAAGGTGGCTATGTTTCAAATCTACCTGTACTTTCCCTTCCATCTTTTTATATCTTGCAAGACATTTGTTGATGAAACTGGCTTTTTTGTCCTATAGAATTTCTCACAGTATGGATTTTGCTGATTGCAACCCTGGGTGTGGTTTACCATGTTCCTCTCTCCCTTGTATTTCCTGTAAACTGGTAGTAAAATATAGTCTTGATTAGATTCAGATTCACTGTTTTTGACAAGACTTCTATATATGTAGTGTGCACACTTCTTATTGCATCATATCAGGAGGTTCATATTGTTTGTTTCCCTTTTTTGTGACGTTAATATTGATCTGTGGGGTCAGGTGTTATCAGAATGACCCACCATTGTAAATTTCCCATGAGTTAATAGTTCCAGTCTCCACTTATACCACTTCCTGCTATAAGTCTCAACTTACACAATTTGTGCCATCTGTTTCACATTACGAGATCCTTCTCCTGCTACTCTTGCTTTTTTGAATTTTATTTTTTGCTATCTAACTTCAGTAAACTGAAAAAAGAGAATATTTTCTCCATGATAACAATTCTGTGTAACTTGATAACTTATGGCTTATCTACTTTGTAAATTCTCCACATGAGCTTAAGCGTGAGTTGTTGGATGTGGCACTTTCTTATGTGTGTTAGATCAAGCTTGTTAATTGTGTTATTTTATTTTTTTATTTCTTCCCTGTTTATTGTTGGCTGACTCCATCAACTCCTGAGAGAAGCATATTGAAATACCCTATTTTGATGGTTTATTTGCCAATTTTCCCTCTACGTTCTAATTTTTGTGTCAATTATTCTGATGCTATGCAAGAAAGGTGCCCTTAAGTTTAGAAATATTAAATGTCCTTGGTGAATTAAACCTTTTATTAATATGTAGCGATTTTTAAACTATCTACTTCTGACTTTCAGCTTAAAACTGAGCTTGTGAAAACAGAGTAGAATGGTGGTTACTGGGGTTTGGGGGTTGGGGATTGAGGGAATTGGGGAAATGTTATTTAAGGGTAAAAACGTACAATTAGTGGATAAATAAGTTCTGGAAACCTAATGAACAACACAGTGATTTTCATCAACAATACTATACTATAAACTTCAAAGTTGCTAAGAGACTAAATTTTAATTTGTTCTCAACACAAAAAAGAAATGATAAATGTGACGTGATAAAGATATTAGCTAAAGCTACTGAAGTAATCATATTGCAATATATAAATGTATTGACCAAACATGTTGTATACCTTAAACTTCACAATGTTATATGTCAGTTATGTCTCAATAAAAAATCATATAAGGTCGAATTTTGTCTAATATTAATATAGTGTTCCTTGTGTAGCCTTTTTCATCCTATAGTGATGATGCATATTGCTGGAATGTGGTTTTTAATCAAGTCTTAAAATATTTTTAACTGGAGGGTTTAGTGTATTTATAATCATTATTTATTGATATATTGAACTTAATTCTACTATTTTCTTTTGTACTTTGTGGTTACATGCTCTTTTCTTTTGTTTTCCCTCTTTCTTGCTATACTTTAGAGTGATTGAGATTTCTCCATTTTGATTTTTCCCTAGTTTTGAAGGTAAATCTGTTTCTATTTGTTTAGTGGAAACTGCAGAAGTTTTAAAAATGATTATTTAGCATAATAAATTCTAAGATTAATCATTATCTTTATCCTTCTGTGGAACAGCAAAAATAGCTTAGAGCGCTTTAGCTCCAATTGTTCCCTTCCCCAGTGATTTGCTAGTGTTGTCTGGTATTTTAGAATCATCTTAATATTTTTTTTACCTCATCTTGGACTGCTCATCATCCCTTCCTTTGTCAGACTAGCTTCCTGAAGTTTATCTACCTTTCAGAATGACTTTTAAGGTGATCCAATTGTAGCATATTTCTTCCTTTTATTTTTAGATTTTTCCTGAAAATGACTTCTTCGCTCTCATTCTTGAAAGATACTTTTTTCTGGATGTAGATATCTAAGTTGACTGCTACCTTCAGAACTCTAGACACACTCTCTCAAACTTCTGGGTTCCATTGTTGCTATTGACTGCCAGTTGGAATTCCTATTGCCTTTGCCTTGAAGGTAACCTGATTCTTCTCTGATTGCTCTTAAAATCTGCTGTTTGATTATATTGTATCTGAATTTGTCTTCTTTTGCTTGATATTCCTTGGAATTCTTACCTTTGTGCGTCAGGGTCTTTCAATGGTCAGCCAGTAGCACTTTAGATATTGCTTCTGCCTCATTCTCTCTGTCTTCTATTTTGGCAATCCAAATTAGACATATGTGAGGCCTTTTCACTTCTTCCTCTCACCCTTTTTCTATAATTTCTATCTTCTTATCTCTCTGTGTTCTGGATAATTTCCTCATACATATCTTTCAATTTATTAGCACTTACCCCATATGGATATAATCTGTTGTTTAAATCCTCCACAGAGTTTCTAAGTTTTCTTATTATATTTTCAGTTCTAGGAATTCACTTTGGTTATTTTCAAATGTGCTCTGTTTTTACAGTCTCTTCTTCCTGCATCCTGCTTACTACCTCTCTTTTATGTCTTTAAACGTTAAATATGTATGCATTTTATATTTTGCATATCATAATTCTGATATCTTCATGTTTTATGAATTTCATCCTGAGTTTGCTGTTTCTGCTTGTTTGTGTTCATAATAGCTTGTTTCCTCACAGGTCACTAGTTTGGGTGATGTCTTTTTAAGAGTGAGCTTATGTTCTTTGGAATTTTGTGGGAATTTTTAGGCCTGTGTGTAAAGCATGTTCCTGCAGAGAGGACTGCAGAAAAGAGAACTTTTCTGTACTTCATCCTGAGCCACCCCTGAGAGACACAATGTCTTGCCACTCCCTCTGCAGAAGCGACTTTATCTGACGTGTCACCCAGGACGGCTCTCAGGCTTTGCCTCGTGTGGTGGGGCTTATGTGGTGGCCTGACTCCAGTCTCCCACTTCACTTACTGTGCAGCCTCTCTCTTGTCTTCTCCACCTGAGTTGTCTGTAAAATTCTTGTGTTAGACCAATGATTTTTAAAGTGCCTTTTGCAACTCCTTAGTAGTTCATGTTCATTTTCACGGATTGCAAACAGGGTTTAAAAAATAGATGGGAATAATATAGTGAAAAAAGAAGATATTTGACTGCCTCACAGACAGGGATATGTGTTGTTTTGTGAAATTTGGTTTCAGGTGTGCATGTGTGTGTGTGTGTGTGTGTGTGTACTGGTATGTATGTGCATTGGGTCAAGACATAAAATATACATTATAATGTGAGTAGCGGTTAAAAAAAGTTAGAAAAGTAGTGCTGTAGACCAACAGGGGTCAGAATATATCCCCAGGACAAAGCCTAGTTCCATGTAGATTTGTGTTTTCATATTTCTGACCCCATTGTGTCACTTAAGAAATATTTACTATCTTATGGTCATGAAGTTAATCTCCTATACTCTCTCTTTAATCTTTTTGGCTTTGCCTTTTGCAGTAGTTTTATAAGTCACTTGGAGTGGATTTTATGTATACTGTGAATCAGATATACAATTTCATTTTTCCATATAAATATTTCACAGTCCTAATGCCATTTACTGGAAAGGCCACACTTCCTCCACCATTCTTCCATGCCACCCTTGTCATAAATCAATTATCTGTATATACAGAGAGAGTTTCTAGGCTCGCTATTATGTTCTGTGGGGTGCCAGCAACACACTGTCTTACTTATCAAAGCTTCATAATAAGTCTTGATATCTGATAAAGCAATTCCTGACATCCTATTCTCTTGAAAAGTATCTTGGCTATTCTTGGAATTTGGCATTTCTGTAAAAATTGGAGAATCAGCTTTCATGTTCCGTGGGGGAAGAAACTATAGAAGTTTACTTGAGACAGCATAAAATTCACAGATCAAGTTGGGGGAGTATTTGCATCTTAACAATATTTGCTATTCCAAACTCTGAACAAAATATGTTCCAAACTTCTTTTATTTCTGTTCTGTTTAATTTCTCTCAGTAATCTTAGAGTCTTTTGCATAAAAAATCTTGCAAATTTTTATTAGACTTCTTTCTAGGAAGTTTATAATTTATGCTATTTTTTTTATTGAGGTCTGATTGGTATACAAAAAAGCTGTACATATTTAATGTACATATCTTGATGAATTTGAAGATAAGTGTATACCCATGAAACCATCTCCATAAACAATGCCATAGACATAACCTTTAAAAGTTTCCTCTCTCTCTTTTTATTGTGTGTGTGATAAGATCACTTAACTTAAGACGTACCCTCTTAACAAATTTTTAAGTATACAATAGAGTAGTGGTAACTATATGCTGTGCTGTATATCTCTGTCCTGCAGTAGATCTCTAGGACATATTCATCTTGCATAAGAGGAAGTATGTTCCCTTTGACCCACACCTCCTCAATTCTCCCTCTCCCTAGTCCCTTGTAACCACCACTCTACTCTCTGCGTCTATGAGTTTGACTATTTCAGATTTCTGATGCCTTGCACTTGAACTTGGAGCATAATGTCCTCCAAGTTCACCCATGTTGCAGCAAATAGCAAAAGGCAGGGTTTCCTTTTTGAAAGGCTGAGTAGTATTCCATTGTATGTATATATCACATTATCCATTCATCTGTGCATAGACATTTAGGTTGTTTCCTTGTCTTGGCTATTGTAAATAATGTTGCAATAAAATGGGAGTGCAGATATCTCTTCAAGATACTGATTTAAATTCTTTTGGATATAGATCCAGAAGTGAGATTGCTGGATCATATGGTATTTCTGTTTTTAAATGTTTGGGGAGCCTCCATACTGTTTTTCATAGTGGCTTTACCAATGTACATTTCTGCCAACAGTGTAGATGGGTTCTCCTTTTTCTACATCCTCCTAACACTTGTTTATCTTTTAATTTTTTGATAATAGCCATCCCAACAGGTATGAGGTGATATCTCATTGTGAGTTTGATTTGCATTTCCCTGAGGACTAGTGATGTTGAACGCCTTTTGTTTGTCGTTTGTATATCTTCTTTAGAGAACTGTCTGTTGAGGTCTTTTGCCGATTTTTTAATTGGGTTATTTGTGTGTGTATGTGTGTGTGTGTGTGTGTGTGTGTGTCCGCTGCTATTGAGTTGTAGGAGTTCCTTATATATTTTAGATATTAACTCTTTATCAGATATGTAATTTGCAAATATTTTTTCCCATTCTGTAGGTTGCCTTTTCACTTTGCTGATAGTTTCCTTTGCTGTGCATAAGCTTTTTTGTTTGATCTAGTCTCATTTGTCTATTTTTGCTTTTCTTGCCTGTGCTTTTGGTGTCATACCCAAGAAATCGTTGACAAGGCCAATATCAAGAAGGTTTTTCCCTATGTTTCCATCTAGGCATTTTACAATTTCAGGTCTTACTTTTAAGTTTTTAATTGATTTTGAGTTGATTTTTGTGCATGGTGTAAGATAGAAGCCTAATTTCGTTCTTTTGCATGTGGATATCGAGTTTTCCCAGCACCCTTTATTGAAGAGACTAATTTTCCTCTTTGCCAGTTGTTGCTCCCCTTGTCAAAGATCAGTTTACCATAAATATAAGGGTTTATTTCTTGGCTTTACATTTTGTTCTAATTTAGTAAAGTTGCTGGATACAAAATCAATACACAAAAATCTGTAGCATTTCTTTACACAAACAATGAACTATTCAAAAAGGAAATCAAGAAAACAATCCCACTTACAACAGCATGAAAAAGAATAAAAAACTTAGGAATAAACTTAACCAAGTAACTAAAAGACTTGAACACTGGAAACTATAACATGTTGTTGAAAGAAATTGACAAAGACACAAACAAATGGAAAGATATCCGGTGTTCAAGGATCAGAAGAATTAATATTGCCAAAATGTCCACACCATCCAAAGCAATCTTCAGATTCAATGCAACCCTATCAAAATCCTAAGGCATTTTTTTATAGAAATAGAAAAGACAATCCTAAAATTCATATGGGACCACAAAAGACCCCAAATAGCCAAAGAAATCTTGAGCAAGGACAAAGCAGGAAGCACCAACCTTCCTGATTTGAAAACATACTACAAAGTCATAATAATCAAAGCAGTATGGTGATGGCATAATTTATGCTATTTTAAAAAATACATATTTAAAGTGTTTATTCTCTACTTAAATATTCATCTCTTAACATGTAAATATTTTTCTTTTTCACATAAACCCTGTGCTATTATCACACTAACAAAATTAAAATAAATTTCATAGAAAATTCTCCAAGTGTCTCAAACATGTCTTTTTACAATTAGTTTGTTCAAATGAAAATTTTGAAAGGTACATGCATTATACATTGGGTGGTATGCTTTTGAAGCTTATTTTATTCTATCACAGTCCTCCTTTCTTTTTGAATGCCAGTGATTTATTAGTGAGATGGATCAGTAGGCCAGCAGAATGTCCTGCATTCTGTCTGATTGAGTCCTTTTGGTGTCACATAATGCTGTCATTCCTCTGCTTTTATTGTGTCACTGTGGTGTCGTTCCTTGACATCTCCTTTTCAGCTAATTTCCTGTAAACTGGCTTGATTTAATTACAGCTTTACATTTTTGAGAAAAATATATCACAGATGCTATGAACTTCCTACAGCATCAGGAAGTTGCCCCACTTTTAGTAACGCTAAGAGTGATCTGTTTGTTTGGGGGTTATTGGGCTGATCTCTCCATTACAAAGTTCTCCATCAATCTTTCAGCTAAAATTGTTTTTGCATTCAGTGCTGATGACTGCCTGGATTTGATATAGACTAAATTGTGGCCCCCAAATCGTGTGTTGAAGCTCTGATCCCCAAAGTGATGGTTTTGGTGATGAGGCCTTTGGGAGACAGTTAGGTTTAGATGAGGTCATGGGGTGGGGCCCTTATGATGGGACTGTTGACCTTGTAAAAAGAGACATCAGAGAGATTTCTCTCTCTTTCCCACTGCCATGTAAGAGCACAGCAAGAAAGTGGCCAACTACAAGCCAGAAAGACAGGTCTCAC